ACTTGCCATACTATTCATGAATAAGTGTCTCCTAAGACATTAATAAGAGTTAAAATATGAGATGTGATCAAAATATATGGTTTAAATAATTTAAAGGTTTAATTTTTTTTAAAATGTTACAATAAAAGATATACCATCATTAATTCCCATCAAAATATTCCCCCTCACTTTGAACACACTTATCCTGTCATATTTGCCACTTCCTGAAACATTTCTGGAAGTTGTTTTTCCTGATTGTCTTTACAAGTAGTGAACAAAAAATACAGTAAATGTTGCAGCTGAGTGCTATCCAATGGGAGGACAGGCTCATAAAAACATGACAGTGTATCCTCATGTATATCATTCACCAGATCTGGCACCGTGGAACTTATGAGTCCTCCTCAAAACCAAAATGACATGTAAGGTAAATGTTATAAATCCATTCCAGGACATTGAGGCAGCCAAGACTGCTCAAGTAAAAACACAAAGAATCACTTCCAAAACTGCTTCAGAAAATAGCAAGATCAATGAAATATGTTTAGGTTTATTTTTTTTTTAATTTTTTAAATTTTATTTTGAATGTGGTAAAACTATAACAGAACAAGACAGAACAAATCAATAGAGACAATGTAGTGATATTGGGACAGAACTTCAAAGCAGGATACTGGGATGGTAGTAATAGGTATTACAGTACATCTCGCTATCTTCACAATAGTTGTCCAGTCAATTAGGTATAGCGAAATCAGACTAATAACAGAACATTGTAAAACCAGTTGAAGGACAATATTGAATAGAGCAAAATAATCATTACAAAATATAACAGTGAAAGTAACCTTTGCCTTCAAACAGAACATAGAAGGAAAGCCCCCTTATTTGCTATATTGCATATGGTGATGCTCCCAAGAGATGCTCAGAACTCTGTCCCCATTTGCTGATGGGGGGGAGGGGAGGATGTTTGATTCTCAGCCTGTGCCAGTAGGCCCATGGGAACAGCAGACTGGTTCTCCTCCCTGCCGCCCCAGGGGCGCTTACCAAGAGGGCGGGCAAATTGCTTTCTTGTGCAGCCACCTAAGCCCCAAATGGGTCTCATGTAGCCAATGAAATGTGTTTGAATTAAGGAGTATTTTGAAGGGGACTAATGGCAGTGTGGCTGTCACTATATTTTTAATTTAAATATTAACTATTTTTATACCACACTGCTAACCTCTAAGAAATAAAAGCTTTAATTGTATAGAAGAAAGGGAAACTCCACTGTTAGATGTGGCAACTGGTGAAAACCCACTGTAGCAGAAGTAAAGGAAAAAAGTTCCATTCCCTCAAGAGGAAGAGAAGGCTCGGAATACTCACTAGGCCCAGCACCATAGCTGTAGAAGAGCAGAACCACTTGTGACCAAGTATGATACCACCAGAAACCTGGCTCCATATTCGAGGAATGTCAAAAAGATTAAATAAACTAGGAAAACCATCATGTTAAGTAAAAACTGTGGAATACTTCCTGATTTACAGTTATTATCTTTTATAGTTATTATGCTTGTTATTCTCATTAATGTCATGATAAAAATCTTCACAAAATTAGAAAGAACTTCCTTCACCTAATATGGGCTATCTGTGAGAAATTTAGAGTTTCTAAACAGCGTAGTACTTAATAGTGAAAGAATGAATGCTTTCCTTCTGAAGTCTGGGACAGGGTAAGGAGGTTCTGCTTCATCACTCCTATATGACATCATATTGGAAGTTCTAACTGTATTAAGGTATGGCCTGCACTTAAAAGCTGTTGATTGATTTTTCACAAAGGGATAAAGCAATTCAATAGGATATACATCTACACACTCACCACACACACATACGCGCACGCACGCGCACACACACACACAAAAACTCCCCTCATGTCTTACACAAAAAGTATCTCAAAAAGGAAAATAGATCAAACAACTAATGTGAAAAATGTGTGAACTTGGGTTTGATGATGAGTTTTTAGGTATACTGGCAAAAGCTTGATCTATAAAAGAAAATAATAAACTAGATTTTGTCAAAATTTAAAATTCTATTCTATCTATTCTAATCTAGGTACCCTAGACTCGGCCATGTTGGGACTTAGGCAGCTGCACAAGAAAGCAATTTGCTAAAAGTTTAATGTTCAAGCTACAGACCAAAAGAACGTATTTTAAAGTTTATACAGAGAATATAAAATATTCTTGAAACCCAACAATAAGTAAACAGTCAATAAGAAAGAACAATAGCCTTAAAGTGGCACTATGGAAAGATTTTTGGATGGCAAAGATATATTAAATGTTGGTCATCATCACTAAATATTAGAAAAAATGCATATTGAAACACTTAGGTACTTATAATTAAAATAAAATTAAAAATTAGCAATACCAAGTGCCAGTGATTATGCTTAGCAATAAGAATTCTTTATTGCTTATGGGAATGTAAAAATGCTATATTCACTTTAGAAAAGTTTGGCAGTTTTTTTTATAAAGTTAAATATACATAGCCAGGCGTGGTGGCACACACCTGTAATTCCAGCACTTGGAAGGCTGAGGCAGGAGGATCATTGCAAATTCAAGACCAGCCTGGGCTATAAAGTGAGCCCAAGCCCAGCCTGACCTACATAATGAGACCCTGTCTCAAAAAGACAAAAAAAAAAAAAAAGTTAAATATACATTTACAGTGTGACCCAGAAATCCCACTCCTAAGCACTTAACCAAATGAATTGAAAATCTATGTACCTAAATGCTTAACGTAGCTATATTCATAACTGTGAAAACTGGAAACAACCAAGAGGTCCTCTAACAACTGAACATATAAATAGTGATGTTATGGAATACCTACCAAGGAACATATGCCATTCATTTACCCAACAACATTTATCCAAGACCACAGATGAATCTTTTATGCATTTAACTAAAGGAAAGAAGCTACATCAAAATTATTATTCAGTAATTTCCACTTTTAGGAAATTCTGGAGAAAGAAAAATTTGATCAATGGTTGCCAGAAGTCAGGAAATATGTTGACTAACAAAGGGCCAAGGGAGACAAATTTTAGGGTGGTGAAACTGTCCTGTTTGGTACTGTAGTGTTAGAGACATAATTCTTTGTAGTTTTCAAAACCCATAGAACTATGAATAACCAAAGTGACCTTGGCAAAAAGAATTTTGACTACATGTTATGAAGGAAGATTAAAAAAACAGTAAATCTTTTTCTTATATTGGTATAGAGTAACAAATGTGCAAGTACTATATACTCTAACAAATTTTTAGATATTGCCAGATTTCCCATTGTTAAAACAGAAGCAAGAAGAAAAGCTAAATAAATGCTGTGATACTGGATTACAATTAAAAGGATAAGTACAAATTCATTTTATGTAGACAGATACAGAAATAGAGATTAATCTATATATAATATGAGTTAATATACATAAACACATTTTTGTAGGTGTCCTCTGGACAAAAAAATCAAGAAACAAAAACACCCAGAGCCCAGGCTTGAGTCTTTGAATTCTGTTCTTCAGTTAAAGTAATAAGAACTTCTTGACCAATTTGAGGTCTAGGAGGCAAAAAGTCAAGTGTCTTATAGTACCAGAAAGTAAAGAAATCCTTTAAAAAAATTTTTTTTCAAAAGGACACAGCAGCCTCCCAATGGTGAATAGCCTACCAGTGATGAAAGTTGGATAATTCGAACAGCAAAATAAATCATTGTGTTGGATTATACTCAATAAAACAAATTTCTGTGACTTCATTTTCAAATAGATAAATAATTGTAAAGGAACTGAATATTTCTTAAAGAATTCTAAGTAATAATTGTAGAAGGAATGAGGGGAACAGAAACATAATTACAGCTTCAATAGACACCAAAGATGAATGTTAAAATTAGTGAGTGAAACTCTAGGATGAAACAGGAGCTTTTACTTCATTTTTTTTTACTGCATGAGCTTCTAGTTCTATTCTTTCTCTGCCTTCAGATTTGTTCCTAATGAAATTACATTTTGTACTGAAGTTTTACTGTCTTATATATCTTGAAATCATTAAAATTTTTTCATTTCCTGTAATCGTCTCTAAATGCTAAGAAAAAATGTAGATCGAGTTATCAATACAGTTATTAATGGAAACTTGGTCAAAACAACACAATCAACACATCTTTATAATCATTAGATTAAAAATGCATTGCTTAATAAGAGGGATAAGTCTGGGTTCTTTTTTCTTTTTTGTTTTTTTAATTGCACCATGTATTTATGGATAGAGTTACCTCTTGCTACAATAAGCCATTAATTTTTGTCTTTTTCTTTCCTTCTTTTTAAAAATAGGTTTAACTTTTACAAAGCCATGTCTATATAAAAAAGTAGATGGTCACTGAAACTTTGTTATAAATGTTCAATTCCTCGAAATCCTTCTTGGTTACAAAGTAAAACTTGCTCAGTGATTAAAAATATTTTAAACAATGTTTAAAAGGTTCTATTAGGTACACTTTCAACGTTTAGGAATGCAAAGAATTAAAAACAGTCACATTGGACTTGTTACACAGATATTACGGTCATTTGCTCTCAGTGGCCATCTTGTGTTCTTAAATAATCTCCTTGACCCCTGGAACCAAACTTCTGCAAATCTATGTGTTTTCATAGGAAGGTTACTTAGGTCAGGCTTTGTCCATGGGCATTTTCTCGGGTTGTATTCAGGGGTAAAGTGAAGGGTGTGCTTGAAACTCCTGTCACAAGAACCCTGAGGTAGCTCCAAACACCTGTGTAAGGTCGCCCTACAGAAAACTGAGCGCCAGATAACCATCCACATGTTGCTCTGTGACAATGGCTGGCAGCATGTTCAAGTAGCTGAGAGGCCCAACTGAGTTTTACCAGACTTCTTCAGCTGCCAGAGCAGCCCTGCTTCCTCTGGCCTCGACTATATCATTGAGGCCTCAAATCGACACCAGTTTTAGCGCCTTCCTTGAGTAAGGAACTGCGCCTATGTTTACTGCGCAGGAGCAAGGGCGGGGCTCGGGCCAGGGAGACCGTTGGTGATTGGACACAGCAGACGCCGGGGGTGGGCCTCTCAGGGACGCTGTTTAAAAGACGCGCTGAGCCGCGTGTTCCAGCCTGAGAAGAGAGGTTGACGCTGGACAGAAATGGCGGCAGCGGGCGGCAGCCGGCGAACCCGTAGCCTGAGGCTTGGCCTGCCCTTGACCAGCACCCGCCTATTGGCGGGGCCCTCCCCAGAAGAAGGCGAGAAGGACAGCCTCAGTGAGTAGGAGCTGCGCTAGAATTTGGGAGGCCAACATATGCTGTGGTATTTTTTTCCTTGGCCCTGCTAAAATGATTTCTCAGGTGATCCCTGAGTAGAATTGTTTCCCCGGACAGTTGCCCTTTCTTACCCTCCTTGTAGTAGAGTTAGTGAAATGACTTCAGAAGAGTTCAGTATCTATTAAAATTCACAAAACAATCATGAAATCAATTAGAGGGACTTGGCCTCTAGCTTTGCGCGTGTCTGTGTGTAAAGGAAAATTGGAGTTTAGGCTCGTTTTATTTTTCCAGAATATTTTTGTTTTCATTTTTCAACAATTTTATAACGATCTGTAGGTGAGAAAACTTGTGACAGCAGCGACTGGTTTCAGAGGTCCAGGGTCCCCAGCTTTGCTCAGATGTTGAAAAAGAACTTGCCCGTTCAGCCAGTGGTCCAGACGGTGACTCTTCCTGCAGGATATTCCTCTGAGGGTGGCAGCCTGCTAAACATGGCCTCCAAGGTCACACAAGTGACAGGTATGCTTTCCTTTCATTTGTAGTAGCGCCTGACTGCTTCTGGATTCTGAGACGGCCAGTGTATACTTTTGAGCCCCAGGATTAAATGTTTCCCAGATACACTGTATCCACATTTCCCTGAGGCTACTTCATACCTGGAGAGGATCTGACTCCCAGCACTGAAGGGGAACCTGAGAATTCCTACCCTAGCTGCTCACATAATTCATTTCTACTTTTGCTGCTGAAGGCTTCAAGTATGTTTTATATTTTTTGATGTAAGGCCTCAGAGAAATAACTGGAGTTACATAAATTTGTATTCCAGGCACCTTTAACTCCGTGTTAAACAGAAAGTAAGGACACATGTGCTTGAAGAATTCGGTGGAACTTTATGCAGATCAAATAATTTGTAGTGCCTGACTATGGGTGGCAGTATAAAATAGTGGATGGGAGTTGTAAACCAGATTTCAGTGTTAACAGGGTTTTTCTCTGTTCTTGGCCTTTATAATACCATCTGTAGAGACTTTGATATTGCTAAAATTCCATGATTCTTTGATATCATTAGTGATGTAATAATGGTATTGCTTCTTTAGAAAATAGCTTTAGTATGATGAGTAATAGGTACAATAATAGATTGTGCCTGTTATGTGTGCCGAAATCATTCAGTAGAAATTTATGAAAAATACATATGACTAAGTTTATCTTCCACTTTTTTTATATTGATCTTGCATTCTTTTTTTTTTTTTTTTTTTTTTTTTTGTACTGGGAATTGAACTCACAACCTTGCTCTTGGCAGGCAGGCGCTTGTGCCGCTGAGCTAAATCCTCAGCCCTTATTCCATTTTTAAGGATTTAGTGCTTTTATTTTTTTTTTAACCAAATTGACAATGTAAACATTTATTTTTAGGTAATTTTCCAGAACCATTGCTTTCCAAAAATCTTTCAACTATTTCAAATCCTGTCCTTCCTCCAAAAAAAATACCTAGGGAATTTATAATGAAATACAAACGTGGAGAGATAAACCCTGTGTCAGCCTTGCACCAATTTGCACAAATGCAGCGGGTTCAGCTTGACCTTAAGGAAACTGTCACAACAGGCAAGTACAAATTTTTGGATTGGTATAATAGTACTAGAAAATATTTTTCTATTTTAAGCAGAACACTTAAGTGGTGTTACCTTTGGTTATTGCATGGACTAATAGAGAAATACTATTTTTGACTTAAACTTTTATGTTTCTGCTTTAGGCTTTTTGAGCCTCTGGAAATACAGTATATAAAATGTTTTATAGTCATGAAATAGTAATTTTTGTGTGTGGGTAGCCAAAATGAAGTCAGTCTCTTATATTATTTGGGGGTATAAATAGTTTGCGCACATAAAGCATACTTTACTAGTAGTATTAAGTCTTTGAACTAAGATGATCTTAAGAGGGTTCTGTGATTATGATCCCTAAGGAAAAACAGTTAAATAATGGCCCTTGAAATGTAAGGATTTGATGTGGAAAAAGCACTTACATAGTTGCTACTGTTTATAGACTTGTCTGTTACAATTTCTACCATGCTCCTTTAAACTTTGTACCCATGGAAGGCTACAGAAATATACATAAGTAAAATATGTGAAGCAGCTTCTGATCTCTTCATGTTATGGCAAGTAATTAAGAACAATTTTAGCAAAGTGTAATAAAAGAATGAATGCTTTTAAGAGACATTGACAGTTTAAAGCTATGAGACACAAAATAAGTCTTTAAAAAATCTTGCTGTGTGTATGTACCAGCAAGAAGTTTGATTTCTTTCATTTTTCCATGCTAATTTTTGCCAATATGAACTCAAAGCTAGAATCTTTGCAGAATGTAGAGCTATTGATTTTAGTATCCTGGTGATATCAATTTTCAGACTGTTGCTTTGAATAAAATACTAGGAAATTTAACAATTGACAAAAAATAAGTATAAAAGGTAGCTTTTTTAATATAAAAGATGGGCCTAATCTCTAAGAAATTTGTTTATTTTCCTGTATTATTCTCAGACTGCCCCAGGAAAATGTAAGCTATTGGTCCCTATAAAAGAAAAAAAATATGGAGGAAAATTTTTACTGCTCTGAGGAAACATCATTCAACAATATGGCTCATGGATTATTAAAGGCATTCATTTTATATTCAAAGCATGATTCTGAAGGTTGGGTATTGAGCCTGGATATCAATATTATGAACAAGTTCTACATGTGATATAGAATCATATTAAAGTTAGAGAATCCTGGTTAAAACTGATTGAAACCAATACTTATCAACAAATATGTGTAATATCTCCTACATAAGAATCATCTGGGTCATTTATTAAATATACAAAATGCCCTTTGGCTTATTAAATCATGAAGGATTCTAGGAAACTGAGGTCTTAGATGATAGGAGGAAAGCAGTTTACATTTACCCAGGTATAGACAAGAATTTCTGAAAAAAACTTAGGTGTATTTTTTTTAATGATTAGGTATGTGAGAAAATAAGATGGTAGGGTTTATGCATGGTGACTTTGTATTTAGTTATCCATAACCAAAATGTGGAGACTTAGGCTATAAGTCCATATACCAATAAACAAAACTTGAATCAGAAAAATCTTTAACTGATAAATTTAGATTATTCCATTTCATTTTTTCCAAAAATATTTGAAAGTAACTTTAGAAGATAGACTTTCAGTTTAATTCCTTTTTATTGTTGTGTATATTTTGCTTTCTTTGTAGGTTCCCCCTTTGTCCTCCCTAAACTATAGTGGATGTACTTGTTTATCTTAATGCCCTGATTAGTACATGGATTTTTCAAAGGAATCTCTTATGTTCTGTAATTTTTGTTAGAGGAATCTAGAGATGAGAGAAATTTAACTTTATTTGTCCTGAAGTTTTAAAAAAGAGAAATGTTACCAAAAGTCTCCTCATTTTACCTCTTATTGGTTGTTGAACAGATTAAGTGTCAACCATTATGTTAGAAACTTACTGTCGTCCCACATATGGTCCAGTCCATGCAGTATTTTGTTGCTCATTCTGACTCTGGACCCAGTCTAAAAACCTGAATCCTCAGAACTAGGTCAGGGCCCTATCCAGTTTTGATTTCAGCCCCGGTTGGCCCTACTGAGAGCCTGGTATTTTATAATAAATTGTTTTCCATAATTTTTGTACTGGAATGTTTTCCTATATACATTTTTTATAAAAATATACTGTGAATTATTGTAGCAGTCATTTTCAATTCTTTTTCAAGGTAATGTGATGGGGTCATATTTTGCTTTCTGTGCTGTGGTGGATGGCATTCAATATAAGACTGGACTGGGACAAAATAAAAAGGAGTCTAGATCCAATGCAGCGAAATTAGCTCTTGATGAGCTTCTACAATTGGATGAGCCTGAACCAAGACTTTTAGAACAATCAGGTAAATATTCTTAATTAAAAAGTATTGAAAATGTATTATTTTCCAAAAGGAATCAGATGACTTATGTTAGTAAAGTCATTTGGCAACTGTAAGATAAAAGTTATAGGAGTTGAATAATTTCTTTCATTTTCTCTGTTGATGTACTACTTAGTAGAAGTTAAAATCCTCTTGCATATTTTAGTATCAGAAGATAAAATCATATTACTAAACTGATAATTTGTCAGATTATTAGTAAGTTCAGGTGTTTTTTCTGTCATTAAATTGTTATTAAGCACATAACCTTACATATTTTACTACTAAGGATTAAATTTATAGGCAATATTTGTAAAATATGTCTTTATTAAATTTAGTAAATAGCAGTTGGTTGAAAAATGATGACCAAGGTTACTATAAAAAAACTTGAGAATGTAAACCCTAGAATCTAAGAGCTAACATTAAAATATTTACCCTGGCAGACATGTGGTTTGTCCCTTACTCCTGTTTCACTTGTAAAATGGGGACAATGATAGTAACTAGTATGATCTATGGCTGTCCTTAGGATTAAATCAATAATACATACAAAGTCCTTAATCAGTGTCTGGTGAATAAGATAAAATCAAATGATGGCTGCTATTATTAAAAATTAATTTCAAGAATATGTTAACATATACACTGGCAGTTTTTAACATTATGGTTTACCTGTGGATGAAGCAACATTTTTAAAAGAAAATATTTAAATTTGATGTTGAGCAGTGACTGTAAATTCATCATTTTAAATACAAATCTTCCCCCTAGTCTCCTTCTGAATTGTTTTTAGCCCTTTAACTTCATCCTTGTTTTCATTTCTTTCCTAGTGCTTAAAGTCTGCATGTACTTTCTTTAGTTGAAATTTTATTTTAAATATTTTTGTTTTGTTACTATTTAATTAAAGTTACTGCTTAAATTTAGTTAAAATGACATTTTGCCACAATTTATAATTTCATAGTTTTTCTCATTGTTTTTTAAATTGTCTTATTTTGGATTTAATTTAGTGTATTTTACTAGTTTTCATGTTATTTTTCATCTACCAATTTTTTAAGCATTATTAATATTTTAGGACCAGGTATAATTAGTAAATGTCTTCAAAGGGTAGGGACTAAAATTGCCATTTTTATCTTTAATGTATTGTAATGCTTTGATTGGTTTCTTAAAAGTATTTGACTTACAGAGAGTATAAGTGCAGTTGTTTTACTTTTATTATAAAACATACTTTTAAAAATTCAATATAAAATTATTCCTTTGCTCCAGCTTTATATGTCTTTTTCTAATACTAATGAAACTTCTTTGGTTATTGTATTTATCCAATAACTGTCCTGTTTTGATTTTTGAAAACGTTTCCTATAAGTATTAGTCTTTTATATAATCAAAGAATATTTTAATGTGGAAGTTTATCATTTGCATTTATTGTCTTAATCATCTGATGTCTTGTTACATGCTTTCTTTTTCATTTTTCTTTTTTGTTATGTGGGTATTTTATTTGACCTTTTTCTTCTAAATATTTGGAAAGTGATGACTAACTTGGAGGCTCATCTTTCCAATATAATTTTGAGTCCTACTTTTTATCATCTAATAATTTTGCTATCTTTCCCAAGTTTTAGATTCTTTTTCAATTATTCAGTTTTAGGGGCTATATCATGCTGTGAGTGAACAGTTCCTCCCTATCTGGAGCTTATGGACTAGCTATTTCCTCAGATTTTTTTATAGACCTGTCTTATATTCTCTACAAGTTAAAATACTTTTTGAAATCTAGTTAAAGTATATGCACAGAACTTCTTGAGCATCTACTGTAATTACCAGAAGTGAATATTGGTAATTGGATTTTTTAAAATGCTTTTCCCCTGAGGATTTTAAAAATGTTTAATATAGGGTTAGCAAATGTTTTGCTTGGAACTTGACAAAATTTAATTTCTAAACATCTGTGTTTTCTCTTGTTTGTGAAAAGTAAGGTAGCATTTCTGCAGCTACCACTTTTATATTCATTATTGTTTTTTCAAAAAAGTGCCAGTGGTGCCTTAACTACAATAACAAGTTCTTGACTGATATATTTTCTGACAGTACAGAGCCTACAAATAGTATAAGGTCATCCTTTCCCCTGTAATGTGCAACAGTTTCTTTTCCCTTTGTTCTAAACAGTTAAAGATTTACTGTTCTTCAGATGGGGCCTGTTGGAAAAGGCAAGTCACTTGGGGTATGAACTAGAAGGGTGTAACTTTTTCCTCCCTTCTCTCTTTGCTTCCTGGCTGACATGGGATTTGTAACTGTCCTCTACCCACGATCTTTCTTTCTGTCTTAACTCTTTCTGCCTTAGACCCAGATGATCACGGGCTGAATAGATGAGCTAAAACAAACCACTCATTTAAGTTGTGACTAGAGAAATGAGTTTGTTGCTATGACTGTGTCTGACCACATGGTTCAGAAATATTTGATAGCATTTCATGAGAGGAGATTAGAACAGTTTAGAGATGCCAGCTAGAAAAGTCCTAGGATACTATAAACTGAGCTTGGTGGGAGAATCAAATTCAAATCTGCTACCAAGCTCAGATATGCAAACAGTGAAGGCCAGTCCTAAGAAGTTTAAACAGCAAACAAAAATTCTTTGGCATTTAGCCTGAAAACCAAATGTATTATACCCTGGCAGAAAATTTGTCTTCATTTAGCTCATGTCTTGAGTTTTTGCAGGAAGCTGGTATTAAGCATGGTCTAGTTAATCTGGCATAGAAACTTTCAAAAGCAAGCCAATACCCAGGCCATGGCATGGATAGTGCTGGCCACTTTTATCAAGATCTATGGTGAAAATCAGAAGCAAAATGCTTCTATGAAAAATTTGCAGTTTCACCAGAAAGGAAGTGTCTATAGAGTTGAGGCAAAGGAGAGCATGCTAAAAAGTTTAGCATTAAAAAGAAACCAAGTACTTTGCATCAGGACAGTAGGAAAGATGACCAAATGCATCTCAGCAAGACCACCCATCACAGACTAAAAGATAACAAAAGTATAAGTAATTTGCTTTGAAAAGAGAGCCCTAGGATGCTCAGCTCATTCAAGGTTGTCTCAGAAAGCTTTTTCCAGAGTTCAACCATCCAGGCACTCAGAAACCACGGTAGCCCTGATCGCATGTTGTCCAGCTACTGCTCTCACTAATTTACAGACCTTGCCACTGATAACAGGCTTTATGAGTATACAGAATGCAAGTGTTAAGGGTTCAGAGAGGCTTTTATCTAAATTTCAGAAGGCCTAGGAGGCCAGGCAGTGTGCCCCTGAGAGGGTAGTCGGGGGAGATGTGAGAGTGAAGCCGAAAGTGTAGCAGAGAATCCAAGAAGTTAAAAATGCCAGGAATATGGATAGTCTACTGAGAAGAGCTGCAGATTTTGAGCAGAGCCAGCACAAGAGAGAGAGGACATGAGAGTGGCATCCAACAGAGCCACAGGGCTGGGGCCTATGGAGCTCACATCTTGCCACAGCTAGTCTGAAAATTACAGAATTTATTGTTTACCCTGCTGAATTTTGGTCTTGCATTGGTCCTTTCTCTTTTGTTATTCCTCCCTTTTTGTGCCGTTTATCTTGGAAGTATTTAACTTTCTTTTTGTTTTTTATAGGGGCTCACAGCTAAGTATTTCCCTAAAGTAGACTTTGGACTTGAATGTTTTAGCAGTACTGTTTTTGTTGAGAGTAATTTTTTTTTTTTTTTTTTTTTTTTTAATCATCGGTACCAGGGATTGAATTTACGACCACGCGCTTGCAAGGCCAGGGCTTATGCCGCTGACCTAAATCCCTAGCCCCAGCAGCACTGTTTTTATACTTCGATGTTTAGAGATGAACTAAATTGGTTTTGTATAATGAGATGAACATGAGTCTTTTGGGGTGAAGAATGTTATGCTTTACATTTAAAATGTGACCCAAAAGTTTCATGTGCTTTGAAGATGATTGGATTATGGAGGCATTATACTCATTAGTGGATTTTTTCGTTAATTGAGTTTAGTAGATAAATATGTTATTATTAGTTGGGTCCCGGTTGGAATTATAACACTGACAGTGTGCTGTTAGAAGGTGTGTCACCTTCCAATTCCTCCCTTTACTCTGCTTCCTGGCTGCCATTAATTGATCTGCATTTCTTCTGTCCGGACCTTTTACCATTCTGTTTCTGCTTTGGAGCTTGCTGACTGTGAACTGAATCCTCAAAACTCCCACGAGCCAAAATAAACCTCTCTTTTAAGTTATGAGTGCTGAGTACGTAGTACTAGACCCTAAGGAGAAAGCAACACTGAGCTAAAAGAGTTTGATGATTTAGAGTTGGCAAAAATACACAGAAAAAGTCATTCTTGGTTTATTGTTATAATAATAAAGAACCAGCTCTTTGTATGTAAAGTTTCATGTTTCCTAATGTTTGTTGTTGTTTACAGGTCCTCCTCCTATTCCTGCAGAACCCGTTGCTACACCTGAACCAACATATGTTTCAAAAGTACATTATGGTAAGAAAGTCCTAGAAATTTAAGTTCTTAGATAATTAATCCAGTTAAAAGTGTAATTAAAATATGCATAAGTATGAAGGTCTACACTGATGCTTTATTATCCAAATTTTTCATACTCAGAAAGAGGAAAATTTTTGCTTTGCTAAAAAAAAAAATAAAAGAATGGAGAAGAAAGGTTAAAGGAAGGAGTTTTTGCTTAAAATATGGTGCTTCTTCAATTTCATAAGCTTTCATAAATTTCAACTGCTTTTATGAGAATTCTTTGCTTTTGTGGTCTTGTTTCCTGATGCTTCATAGTTATTGGACAGATTCATTTCAAATAATCTATCTTTGTTCCTTTGGCAGTTATTATCTGCTCAAACCCAAGAAAGGTAAACTTCCAGTTCGTATTACTAGTTAATGGTGTAGGACCACTTGCTCCCCTGTATATTTTAATTGCCTCATTTGTAAAATGACCATTTCATGAAGTCCATTATAGAGTTTTTTGGAGATTAAATGAATTTGTGCTTGTAAACTATTTATATGTATCAATGACTGTCAACATAGCACATGCTCATCAAATAGTAACTTTCATATTTTATTAGTCTCTTCATTCAACATTGTTTGGTAGTTATATCCTTTTCCCATTGAGCTATTAATTTTGTGAAATGCAGAAAATTATTCTTAATTTCTACATCAACAATGTATTAGAAACACCTCATACTTTAGAGTACTTGTAAAAGAAAAATAAAGAAGAGCCTTTTCTTCCTTTTTATTTTCCAGGCCTGCAGGTTAGGGTTTGAAAAATTTGTGCCTATTCTAGGTCTTCTGTTATCTTTCTGAGACAAAGAAAAAGGCCCTGTATATTTCCATGCCTACATGGACCTAATGGACCAGACCATGGAAAATATGCACATTCAAAAGACAGAATCTGCCCGTAGTTAGATATAACCATTTGACCTAACAGTCATAAGAATTAATGAACAGAACAGCCCCAAGGGATCAATAAACAGAAATGATGTCTTAATATAGGAAGAGGCTCTTGTCTTTCCATTCAGTCTCTTTGGACATTTTTACTGACTAATGATGTTGAATTCCAAGGATTGGAAAATAGTATAGATTGCTGTTACCCTAAGGAAAAAAAACATTAATTGGTGAAGAAGAATTTTTTAAAAAGTACAAGATTTGAGTCCATTTTAAAAGGCTCTACTGAAGAGTCAGATGTCAGATAAGGAGAATAGAGATTATCCTTCAAACTTAATGGTTAAACTAAAAGTTTAGTATTAAAATTTTTGAAGAAAAATGAACTTGGGACCACAGAAGTCTGGATGCTTCCTTTTGGCCAAGTTATAGATAGGCGTATTTGTTTCATAGACCATCTGCTTTGCCATTTACTTCTAACTGGGCTGTGTCTTCACTAAAAATAACATTTTCACTCTGAATATCTGTTAAGTTTTTAGTGATCTGAATTGAGTTACCGAGTATCACATGCAATTAATAACTTATTATCTAAATAATGTTAACTGGCATTATTTGTGTTTTATTTTTGTCTCATCTTCATTCCCAATAATTCATGAGAGTATTCTATTAACAATTAGTGAACATGAATAGGGAAACCAATGTTGTATTATCTGCTTAGTCCTTCACACACATTAAGAACAGATTTATTAACTATTTGTTTTAATTACATGCACAATATTTATTATTTCTTTAAATATTAAATTATGATAAAGAGGTATATTGGTATGCTAGCTTTCTTTTTCTGTATTTTTTGGGGTTTCTGGGGGATCAAACCAGAGCTTTACACATACTAGATGAGCTGTCTACCTTGCTACAGTCCCATCCCCTATTTGTATATTATTGATTCCCAAATATCTTAATGATATTTCCAGTGTACAGTAAAACATTTTCTTGCATATAGAATGCTTGCAGAATACTTTCCTGTTCTATATTAAAACACAAACTAATTGCTAATTATTTACCCCATGATTAAATAAGTAATTCATAATACATTCAACCTGTGGAAACTTTAAAAAGAATGAAATAGTACTAATGTCTGTTTTTGATGTTCAAGACCAAATAAATGCAAACACTGAGATATAGCATGCCCCAGTTTTTGTTTATTAAAATAATGTATTGCTTATAGTTTCTCAAAATACCTATAATAAATTTACAATAGTAGTTTTCCTCTAGAGAGGGAAATTTGTAAATGTGTTCATTTTTTTTTTTTTAAAAAAGAATAGTTAAATTTAAAAAGGAAAGCACTAATTCAAGCTACAGTGCTTCTCCTATATCATGAATTTTGGTAATAAACACAGCCATTATTTCATTCTGCCATCTCTCAGAGCTTCATTTTTGATTAATTTTGTGACTTTTTGGAAAATATGAATTTACCTGTTTAATCACAGAGTACTAATATTTTAAAAATGCAAGTTTAATATAAACATAAACATGTAAATGGGGTAAAAATAAATTGTATCCAATTAGCAAAGTGTTAGTTGAAACTTCTAATTTTGTATTTTGTCTTTAGTGTGACTGTTAGGTTATAATTATTAAGCAAGTAAAAAGAATTTCTGCAAAAAATTATAATTATACATTTCAAATGTATGTACTATATGAGAGCAAATTATTTTCTTTTTTCCTTAAATTGACTCTGAACCACTTGTAGACCTCCAGCATTCACCATAAAACATGAAGAACCCTTGATAGTTTATAGCCAAACTTGAGAAATACTATATTAAGGATTGATTACATAAATTATCAAAGAAACTCAATAGCTTGTATTCTTTTACCTGAATACTTTAAAACTGAATAAACTCATTATGAAATAAATTAACAATTTGCTTACATTTCCCTATAAATCATTAACTAATTTATGGTAAGTTTTTAATAATAAGACATCAATGGAAAATCTCAGAGTTCTTCAAATTCATACTGGTTTTTAAAATTTTTTTTCTAGATGGGAGACATACTCAGTATTCCAAGATCTCACAGATTGTTAAAGAAACATTTAATCAACTAATTGCTAGTCAGTCACAATATCTGAAATGTAGCAATTCATTGGCTGCTTTTGTTGTTGAAAGAGGTAAGTTCAAATATTTGGGATGTGTTGGTACAAAGACTAGAATCTTAATTTGAATTATATTTTTGTAATATTTTTGTTAACTGTCTTTGCCTTTGTTGACATTGATGTACTGATTTGAAGTGACATTTTTCTAGCAGATGATTAACATTTTTAACACAAACATGCATAAAAATTTACAGATAGCAGAAAACTAATAGGATTTAGATCTTCTGAAACAGATGAGACTTAAGCTGAAATTTTAAGTATTGTTAAAGCTTTGCTATATAGAGAAAGGGAAAATGTTTTTGGAGAGAGGGATGCATATGATAAGAGAGTAGGATAAAACTAATTTTGGAATATTGAGATGAATTTATTACTAGTACACAGTAGTATATTTGCAGGAGCAATGAGAATACTGATTGATAAGACAGTAGCAGACTAAAAAGTCCCTTAACAGCCGGTCAAAAGTTAGGTTTAATAAGATTGATAATAATCTGAAAGATTTCAAACAGGAAAGGCAATGTGTTGTAATTGTTGGACCATGAGCATCAGACAGCTCTGCATTTTAAATTACTTGGGCTATTTATGTACTCAGTGTGTCTGTGCTTCAGTTTTCATCTCCGTTTCTAAAACTACAGATAATAGAAACAATAAGCTCTATGTCATGGTGTTTACAGAATTAAATGTAGCAAACTAACAAAGTAATTAGCACAATACATGGAGTTTAGTAAAAGTTTAATAAATTATGCTTGTCCTGATTAAGGTATAACATTTGATAGCAGATATTTATCTGAAGATTATAGGAGCTGAAACCAAATTAGAAAATCACATTTAGGCAGTTTTGATGGACTGCTAATAGACTTTAGATGGACATAAACAGAAAGGAAAAAAGTTCTATTTTTAAAAAAAAAATTGGTATGATAAAATGAAGGTGAAAATGAATGATAGATGATAAAAGATAAGTAAAAGTAATATTATGATTTAAAGTTTACATTGAGTAGCATTGATATATATATAGAGATTCTGGAAGCTGGTTTGAAGTTAGGTGAAGATGAATATGACTAAGAATAATGCATGTTGTTTTATAAATTGTGAGCATAAATGTGGGGTCGGAAGCCTTAGGTGAAATTATGTGAACATTCCTGGAGTAACATACAATCCATAAATATTTAAAATATATTATTAGCTCTTGTTACCTTACCTCATAATTTTTAATTGAGTCGATAAGCTGTCAAGTCTAAATGCCTTTCTCTCTCTCTGTCTAGCCAGCAAATCTTTTTCTTGCATTTGTATTCTTATTCTCTACTGTAACAATGGAGGATCTGCCTTTACAAATTAATTCTTTCACTTAAGTTTAGATTCCATTCCCTCTCACATCCTGATGAATAATTCCTTCTTTTACCTGTACTACTAAACTTAAGTATCCTGCTGAAGCACTGGAAATCAAATAACAGTTGAGAAAGCTGAGTTCTTGCTATATTTCCCCTTAAAACTCAGAGCTGATGACATCACTGTTTAATTCCACAACTTACACTGACATTGTATTATTCTACTTAAAGGTTTAGACACCTGGTTATTGAGTCAGATTCAGAATTCTCAAGCCCACATCCCTATAATAGGAATGAAATCTGAATCTGTGCTCAGATGTCCCTGAAAATATTTATTTGCTATCATCTTTCTAGTAGCCTGTAAAGCCTAGCTTCCTAAACTTCTCTCCTACAAATAAAAACAAACTTCCTTTAAACTCTTGGTACCCTCCATTGTAAATTTATAGTTATTGTTTACTTGATTTAGTGACCAGATGACATCAAGAAATTGTTTACAGTCTGTGTCCCCTCTTTATTCCAGTTTAGTTTTCTCATCTACTTCTTAGAAACTACTATTGTCAGCACTACCAACTGCATGGTGTAAAATCTAGTGAGTGGATTGTGTTCTCTATTTACTCAAGTTTCCAGAAAAATAAGTTTTACTATGTCTTCTTGTACCACATCAATACTCTTTCTAGTCTACCTACCCTACCCTTTCCTCCCCTTCACAATATTGGCCAGGAATTTTATTAAAACCTTAGATTATTAACTGTAGTCACAAAGTTGTACGTAAGGACTCCAGAACTTGCTCATTATGTAACTGTAAGTGTAATCCCTTTAATCATCTTCCCATTTTTCCAACTTCTTAACTACTCCCTTCTTTTAATCTGCATTTGATCTTTATATTCTGTGTATAATATGGTCATGCAATATTTGTCTTTATACATCTGGCTTATTGCATTTAGCATATAATCATTCATGTTTATTCATGTTGTAGAAGATGGCATGATTTCCTTGTTAAAGTCTGAAGAGCACGCCATTATATGCATATCTATATGTAATGTGGGTTATTTATGAATGTGTATGTGTAAGTATGTATATAAGTGGATATATGTCTACATGTATATCAGTTTAATTTTTCTTTTTGTAATACTGAAGATTAAAATCAGTCTGCACTGAGCTATATCTTCAGGATTTTATTTTTTATTTTGTGATAGAGTCTCACTGTTATCACTGAGTCACACAGGCTGGGTTCAAACTTGTAATCCTCTTGCGTCAGCCTCTTGAGTATAGTTTTGATTTGTATTTCTCTGATGATGAGTGATGATGAACACCTTTTCAACTATGCCCTATGTGTTTCTACTTGCAAGTTATCTTTGTATTTTCCTTTGGCCATTTTTAATATTTCTCATACTTTTAAGTTGTAGGGTATCAAACTCATTAAAGGTTTGCTAATAAATTTATCCCATTCCATTAGTTACTTTTTCATTCTGTTGTTGTTTTACTTTTCATTCTGTTGTTGTTTTACTTTGTTATACTTTGCTTTACTTTACGTTGACTCCGAAATGTAATTTTAACTGGCTTTTACTCCCTTACCTGCAATAGCTTTCCCATAGTGCTTGATTAAAATCCACAAACTCCTAGTCTGGATATATAATTCTCTTTCTTTAACCTCATCTTAAACCATTTGTTTTATTTCATTTAATGAAGCACCTGGTTTCTCTTTTTGCTCTCCTTCTGCTGTTTCTTTTGACTAGAACACTCTTTCCCTTATTTCTCATGCTATTCCCTGCTCACATTTGCAGCTTAAATTCTTTTTGCTGCTCATACCTCACACTGCAATTTAAATTTCAACTTATTAGGAAAAATTTTTAGAACTAATGTATATGAAGTAACTTGTTTCCATTCTTTTTTTTTATTTTTTATTTTTTGTCTTTTTTTCGTTTTTATTGGTACCAGGGATCAAACTCATGACTGCCTGCTTGCAAGGCAGGTGCTTATGCCGCTGAGCTAAATCCCCAGTCCCTTTGTTTTCATTCTTCGCATCAGTTCCATAATTGTTTTTCTCAAAGCACTTATCAGAATGTAGGGTTTGAATAGTTTTTGTTTTCATTTTGTTTCTTTAGTTTTGTTTTTTGAGACAGAGTCTCCCTATGTAGCTCCAGCTGGCCTCGAGTTCATGGCAGTCCTTCTGCCTCAGCCTCCTGAGTGCTAGAATTCTAGGCATGCACCACTATGCTGGGCTAGCCGTTGAGTCTTTTTTTTCTGTCTCTCCTGCTAGAAGATTCCTGATTGTCTTAATGAAATCTCTTAGAAGGTCAGATAAATCTAGATGTGTAAGAATAGTTATGTATTTAAAAGTCAAGGATATGTGATGATTCTGTTGATTGTGCTAAAATTTAGATAAAGCACCAGTATGTAAGATAGCTTGCTTTTTAAATTGAGATTCTACTTTTAAAATTTAGTTCTTAAAATAATTTATCTGAAGTTGTGGAATTATTTTTCTTTTTGGTCAAGATGTGTCACCTAATTAAAAATTATGGAATAGAGGGGTTAAAACATAAGAAAAGAGGGTTATAACAACTTACTACAACTTAACTTTTTTTTTTCCCCCAGCTGGACATCATGAAGTTGTAGCTGTGGGCACAGGTGAATACAATTGCAGCCAGTGCATTAAGCCAAATGGAAGAGTGTTACATGACACTCATGGTGTTGTAACTGCAAGAAGGTCCCTCCTTAGGTAGGGAAACAAATGTATTTAATACTACCACATAATAATGCCTCCAACCCAACATAACTGCTTATAAATGGCGTAATTTACAAATGGAAATTTACTATTCCTTGAACTGGTATCGTAGTCTCTTACTTATCCAAATCATCCAATTATTTTCATGTTACCTTTGGAAACATTGTGGTAACTGCAGCGTCTAGTGTGTGAATAGTAATGCCTTCCATTATTAACTGCTTGTAAACTAACTTCAAAAGTCCTACAGTTTTACTCAAGACATACATACCATCTTTATTTAACTGGCTAATGTTATTGGAAAATATAGCTTTATATTTGCATCAAGAATTTCACTTCTGAATTAGACATAGTTATCCAAGGACAGTATTGGAAACAGTGTTTCCATTTGCAATGTCCATGGGTTTGGTTTCTTATATAACAGAGTATCAATAACGTATTTTTCAGTCTGACAAAATCAAAGAGAAAAGACAGGGATAAAGTAAACATACTTAGTTACTTTCTCAAAGCTCTTCAGTCACTCTTCCTTTTGCAAGAGGAATTAATAATAGTTGGGAAAAAATAGGAGTGTTACTCTTTGACAATCTCTGGTAGTTCCTCCATAAGATGAAAATAAAAACTGTGGGAAGTGAATGTTACCTCTCCATTTGCTTTTGATTCTGGTAAGCCATTGACCTTTTTATCATACTTCTTATAGAAATTTTCAAATGCAAATTGGAATTAGATAATAAATTTCATCATCCAGCTTCAACAGGTACCAGCATTCTACTCTTTTTTTAAATCTCTGTACTGCCCCTTTTTGTTGTTAATATTTTCTTTGTTGGAGCATTTAAAAATAAATTTTGACATTCTATATGAAAAATGTGAGAGTTATCGCTCATAATAAAGGTAACCTTAAAAAAAGTTGGTGGAGGAATCTGTACATGTATTCATTTTATTCCTGTCTTCCTTCATACTGTTGAAATTATTTGACCTCTTTAAATCTACCTCCTCGATGCACTGTTTATTTCTTCCAATGTTTAATACATTTATATATTGGTACTTAATTTATTACATGTTTTTGTTGTTCAGAGTGAACAGAGTACATTTTAAAGTCATGTTTTCTTTAAGTGAGCAAAGCAGTACTTGTTCCTGAATTGATTAATTGTACTCTTTTAAGAGCTCTGCTTCAGTTCTTAATAGTTTGTGTTTTTTGTATTGTTTCCATGCATAAAACCACTAAGAAACAGGAGCTACTGTTGATGATGATGATGAGATTGTTGCTGAACTATTAGTGACTATTTATTTGATTAGATGAGGAGGAGGCGGCATTAAATTAAGGCAAAAGTTGGCTTTCCATCTGGTTGGCTGGGAGTACCTGAGGAAGAAAGAATGAACCAGCAGAAAAATGGATCTTTTGTGGGATGTGAGTCAGACTCAAATATGAAATAAAAGTGGAGTAGCAGTCAAGCAGTGGTATCTTAAAACAGGTCTTAAGGACAAACTGGCCTCCAGTTGAGGACTTCTTGAAAAATTTCATTACTCATTAAATCTGTATCATTTTATGATTGTTCTCATCCATGTTAAATTTTTTTCATGTACATAGACATTGTTCGTGAAACATGGATATGATGCTCATTAAGATACATTTGAATAGGTTTTATTAAGTGTGTTATATTTATTTTAGGTACTTTTATAGACAGCTTCTACTCTTCTATAGCAAAAATCCTATCATGATGGAAAAATCAATATTTTGTACAGAACCAGCTTCTGATCTCCTTACTTTGAAACAAGATATCAACATTTACCTCTATATGAACCAATTACCTAAAGGATCAGCCCAGATTAAGTCACAGTTGTAAGTATTACAGAAGGTTTTTTTCAAAGGCAACAAGTTTGTCATTGTATATATTCTGAATCTCTATAGCAGATAGAACAAACAATTTATATGTATCAAAATTCTCTTTTCAGCCTGTAGGGCACCACAGATCATTTCTGCTTGTGCTCTACCCAGTGTGATCTATGAGTTCTTAAAAATCCCATGTATTATACCAGTTTTTTTTCTATGATACTGCGCATTTTGTCTTTTATACTTTTAGACTTCCCAACTTTAGGAAAGTATTACTGTATGCACTATTCATATTTACGTTCATTGTCTAGAAAAATAAATAGTATCATGTAGTATAAAATTTAAACAATACAGACAAGCACAAAAAAGAAAGTAAAATTCACCTCAAGTCTGATCATTTAGAGAAAACTATGAGCACTATTTTGATTAAAACCTAATAATATTTTCAAAAAGCCATTTTCCATACAGAGAAATTTCAATAAAGATAATTTTGGATTTTATTATTTTAACATTTTATGAAGTAAATATTAAATAAAAATTAACTTTTTTCTTTTTTCCATTTCATTTTGTAGTTTTAAAAATTTTCACAGAGAAGAGAAATAATTTACAAGTTATGATAAGGACAAAATGAATATTCATTTGATTTTTAAGACACATAAACAGTGGTAAAATAATGAAATTATCTGTGCTAGAGTTCTAAATATGATTGCTTTCTGTTTTTTGTCAATATATGGCATAATCAATTTATCCTCCTTGGCTTTGTGTTTGCATCTGTGTTACTAGAATTAAATATATATTATACCAAGAAACTAAACATTGTTGAGAATGATAGTAGGTATGTGTATTGTCAATTATATTTTTTTAACAGCAGAAACTTTTTTTCTTTCTCTAGGCGTCTTAACCCAAATTCTGTATCTGCATTTGAAGCCAATGAAGAACTGAGTCTCCATGTGGCTGTTGGAGGCAAAATTTATCTAACTGTTTACTCTCCTGCAGACGTTGTTAATAGAGTGAACAGTATGTCTTCAAGTGACAAGTTAACAAGATGGGAGATTCTTGGTGTACAGGGAGCATTGCTGAGTCACTTTATACAGCCAGTTTATATCAGTAATATACTTGTTGGTAAGTGGGATTTCAGCACCTCCTGGCCCCTTTCAGTAAATTCTCATACTATCAGTTTGGAATTAGTTTTGCATACGTGAAACTGTAAGGTCAAAACACCAATCCACTTTTTGGCTGAACTGTTTGTTTTGTGGTAACTTGTAATCACACATATATGACTTTTGTCATTTTACCAAGGGGTGAAGAATTAATATTTCAGCTTAACCAATTAGACATATTCTGTATTGAACTTTTGTTTGCATAGTATCTATTACTCCCTCCACTTTCTTTGGGATGAAGTTGGTTTCTTAAACTTACTAAATCCAGAAGCTTGTCTATACTGTATTTATTCATCTTTGAAGTATGGAAAATATTAAAAGCCTATTTTGGTTCTTTCCTATCCTTATTTTTTCCTTATAATTGGCCCATTGAATATGAAGTAGCTAGAATGCAAAATAAATACATAAATTACTAATTTATGTCTTTCATTAATATATTTAAGAATGATGAATTTATATTTGGATGGACTGCCGATATATCTCGTTAATAGTTTTGTGTTCATTTCTTAATTTTCATATGACCTTGGTGAAATAATTTACTACTATCACTTGGCTTCTTTTTGGTTATTGTTAATTTTGAAATGAATCCATAACAAGCTTTAGATTCTCATTTAGTAATATTTTTATTTTAGTCCTAATCTGGATTTTTTGTTTGTTTTACCGTGTTCCATATATTTTATAACAATATCTTAGGAGTTTCTCTTATTTGTATTATTTTTTCATGCTTTGTATGCATGCAAAGTGTTATGAAAAGAAAAATGGTTATTATTTTGCTTTTAGGCTAATTTTATTTGAATAATAAATATGTTACTTGAATTATAATTCAAAAGACTCAAAAGAGCATACTCACCAGAGTCTCCCTCCCATTCTAGTGCTCCAGGCACCAATTTGACTTCTGTAGAAGCATAACTTATTAGTCTTTTGTTTTTATTTGCATTAAAAGTTATATTTTGCTTATAGAAGTATAAATATTAATGTGTATGTTCTTCTGTATTCTTTTTTCTATTTGGTTTTTCAGTGATTTTTTTTCGATTTTATAGTACACCCTCAAAAGAATGTTTCCTGCTCTGCTTTTTCCAAATGCTGTTCTTAATGAAGAACTACTGATTGACTCAGTCTTTAAAAGATTTAATTTGGTTACTAAATTGTTCAAGGTTTTCTTTTATACACTACAGATCATCTCTAGATCCTACACTTTCCTGACTCTTTAAAGGTTTTTTTTTGCTCTTAATAAATGTCTGTAACTAATATGTCTGTGATTTCTCTAAAATCATAGTTTGATGAACAATTCTTTTTTTGACTTTGTGAAAAGACATTTACAATTTGTCATTTGTGTAATGTAACTCCATCATATAGTTACTTTTAATTTTTTATTAGTTTATGTTTGCAAAACATGATAATTACATTAACCTTGGAGAGTTGGTACAAATACGTATAGCATTTTGATCATTCTTATTCCTCTCTTCCCCATCATTGCCTCTCCCTCCTTCCCCAGACTACCTTTCCACCCCAACAGATCCTAATTTCCTTTTTCTTACCATCTCTCTCTTATTTTGCTTTTTGAATTATATTTTGTTTCTCTTATATTAGAGAAACTACGCAATATTTAGATTTTGTATCGGATTCATTGAACTTGGTTTTATTGTCTCAGATTCCATCCATTTTCCTACAGATGATTCAAATTTACCCTGTATGGCTAAGTAGTTAATATTTTATTGTGTTGTATATAAATACATATCACACTTTTCTTTATTCATTCATCTGTTAGTGAACATGTAGGCCACTTCCATGATTTGGCAAAGGGGAGGTTTACTACTATAAACATGAGTATGCATCACTGAAACATGATGACTTTAACTGTTTTGGAGTGATACCCAAAAGAGGTATAACTAAATCAAATAGAATTTCTGTTTTGTAATGGTTTTTTAGGACTCACCGTCCAGATTTCCATGGTGGTTGTACTAGTTCTACAACAGTATGGAAGGGTTCCTTTTTCCCACAACCTCACCAGCGTTTGTTGTTTTATGAATTCTTGATAGTATCCATGGTGACTAGAGTAAAATGAAATCTCAGTGTTGTTTTAATTTGTAATTCTCACAATGCTGCAGATGCTGAACATTTTTTCATGTGCTTACTGTTCATCTCTTTTGAGAAGTGTCTGTTCATTTTAGTTTGCCCATTTTTGATTGGATCTTTTTTTTTAGTTCTTAGTATATTCTAGACATTTTACTTCTATCTGAGGAGTCACTGGCAAAATATTTTTTTCCCATTGTATAGGCCATCTTTTCACTCTATTGATTGTTTCTTTAGCTGTGGAGAAGCTTTTTAATTTAACTTAATCCCATTTGCTGATTCAAGGTATTGTGTTTTGTGTTGTGTTCCTAAATTCAGGAAGTCCTTGCCTATGACTATGTCTTTAAGAGTTTGATATTTGTGAAAAAACACATTTTCAATTTGTCATTTGTATGGTAGAACTCCATAGTATTTTCTTAATTTTTTTTTTAGTGGTTTGGAACAAGGGCTTAAAGCCTAGATCTGATCATTTTAATTGTCATCTTGTACCAACAACATAGAGCACCAGGTAGCAATAAAAGTAGTTTGCTTTGAAAAAAATACTTCTGCTTTCTTTCTTGGCATTTTTGTAGGGCATATCTGAAGTTAATTATTGGTAAACTGTCTGGTATTATCTAAGTACATTTGAATGACTTTGAGTGTGAAAAATAGGCAGATTTCTGTACATTCTATGATCTTTATTTGGGGAAACAGGACTTATGAGGCCGCAGGATATATTTTTTAAAAGAATAAGTAGTTGTATCATATGTTGAACAATTCTCACTTAAAGTGTCTTTACTCTAAACAGTATTATTTGGGTAGCTAAAATAACCTTTAGAGTTAAGTGAACTGTAGCAGTCATATGACATAACTTCTTACTTAGATATATAAATTTCTTGTGGCATTCTGAATGAAGGATTGTTTAGGCCTAATTTGAAGGTATCTAGTAATATGTCATGTACCAAGTCCATACAAGCCCTGTAAACATGTACTGCAAACAACTCTAATAAAAACTATATAAACAAATATAACACAAAAACAAGACAACTGATAAATGCCACTAATTAAAATGTCCACATCATTAGAAGTGTCTTCCTTATGTAAATTGAAATTTACTTAAATTCTATACTGGTAATACAGATTAAATTTACTTAGTTGAAGATAACAAATTTGTCCTCTTTTCTCTATAAATTTTTCCAATTATTTGATTCTTTAATATAGATATTAATGAAATAGAATATTTATTAGTGGAAAATTACTATATATTATTTCATTTTTTTGATGATAATAGGAATTGAGCCTGGGCCCTCTTGCATATTTGGCAAGTCCTGTAGCACTGAGCTAATGTTCCTAGTTCATATATGACATTGTAAACATTATTTCACTTTTTCAAAAGTTTACAGAAGTGAATTTTATGCTGTAAATATTCTTAAAATGTTCATTTAATCATATATAGTGATAATCTTTTTTCCTTTTAAAATTTAAAACAGAAGAGCTAGAGATGAAGCTCAATGCTAACGTACTTGTCTACCATATGTGAAGCCCTTGTTATTGCTTGTGTTTGGAGGTGCCTTCCCAATGCTTCAGGTGGGGCTTTTTCAGAGGTGACTGAATCTGTGTGATTGATTCATAGTGCAGTGCTAGGACTAAAGGTGCTAGGATTAAAGTGATTATTGAATCTGTCCACTAATTGCTTTGACACCCCACCTAAGCCACGTATCTTGGATACAGTGTAAGGGACAGAAAGATGCTTATGTTATCTCTTGCTTGCTTGCTTGCTTGTTTTGCTGCTTTCTGCTTGCCATGAACTGTTTCTCCTCTGTGATGCTTGTCTTCCATGCCGCCCTACCTTGGAGCCAGCCAGTTATGGACTGAAACTGTGAGCTTTTCTCTGTTAACTTTGGGCATTAGGTATTTTGTTTCCCAATGAGAACAGTAACTAACACAACCCTGAATTCAATATTTAGAACTGAAAATAATAATAATAATATAAAATGACATCTAAGTTTGTGTTAAAATAGAATTTCTTTGAATAGAAAATGATCAAGAATAATTTGTAAAAAATTTTTACTTACCATGGATATTGAAATTCTTGGACTTACGTTTGTTTTCAAGCTTTTTAAGGTACATTTTAAATATAGATTCATCTTTCTCAATATAATATATACCACTATTTGTCCAGAGACACAGAAGTCCTTTTCTGTACTGATATGAAAGTACAGTTATAGTGTAAAGAATGCTAAATGCTAATTATGCCATAGTAGACAAAGTTCATGAGCTTTTATAAATCAGTTGATAACTTTAGAGATTCTGTTGCTCCATTTGTCTTTTTTTTCTGGAACAGTAGAATATTAATAAAATGCTTGCCCAAAGTCTTTAAGTTTGCTTATTGACAGAACTTGAATTCAAATCCAACTGATAATTTAACAGTTATTTATGATACCTGTCTCCTCTATAAACTGCTGTCAGGTATCCTATAGTCTTTGATTAGGTTAAACCTTTCATTGTAAACTTCGTTCAAATCATTTGGAATAAATCAAATAAAAATGTCCCTATTATATAATTTTAGAGATGTATTTCTCCAGGGACAAGATTTATCTTCAAAATCAAAATCATAATCTAGATATAGTAAATCATTAATGTATTTATACATAATGGAAAAAGTAACAATTTCAAGATGAATAGATTTGATTTTTTTTCTATTAAGGTAGCTTTTACATTAAAACATCTAAGTGAAGCAATTTGATGTTTAAAGATCTAATGAAGAGCTTAACTTCTAACATTTTTCTTTTTCCTAATATTTCTTAGGCTTAACTGTTGCCATTATTGCTATATAAAATGATTGCATTTTTGAATCTTTGTCTGCTATTTATTAGTGAGATAGTAACTAGGCCTTTTATCTACCTCGTTCACTGTGTCCAAGTACGTCTTTGACTGACCTTCAAGCCTTCATTTATCAGTTCCTCTTTATTTGTAACAAAAGATGATTTAGAAAAAAGAGTGTCAGAAGCAACTTACCTACTTTTAGGATCATATTCTAATGCCTAGACAATCATCACTGCAAGTTCTAATAGCCATCTCAATAATTACATTGATGGAGAAATAAAACTTCATCTGTAAAATATTTATATGACAAACACATGATTTTATTATATTTACAAATAAAGGTATACTCACACATACTGTTGAAAGATCTGCCTCGAAAATTTTTGTAACATCTGCCTCAAAATTTTTTAAATAGAAAAGAGCATTCCCTGACTTCTATTTTATGTTTGATGCAGTCTGCTGTTTTATATTAGTGACACTGTATCTTTTTGAGATCTCTTCTTTAACAGTTGCAACTGAGAATTCAAAGCATTTGGTTGTTGGGCACAATTCTAACCAGAGTGATCATTCTCAGAATTGCTTTTTTTGTGAAATCAGAACACTGTGTACTGGAACACTTATAATTTGTGGCCAGTAGACCTGGCAAAATAACTGACTTTCCCCAACTGATTCCCAGTCATGTTTACATGCTCCATTATGTGTAGGTTTCATGTAGTTCTCAGAGAAAATCAGATAGAGTGAGCCAGTTCTGTCTGCTAGAGCCATATAAAAAATACCAGTTTCTTTTTGGGTCAACACTGACCTTCTGCTTTTGCTCACTAAACTGAAAGATTTCTTTACTTGCTATAAAATATTTCTGTACAGGAATCTTTATTTATTTTATGGAAAAATAAAAATTTCATAAAAACCTAACAATAGTTAATACATTACATGTTGTTATTTTTATAAGTAGTTGCTCAGAGTATAAGAAATGGGCATAAAAATTTCTTCAATCGGTATTAGCACAAACCTTCCTTATGAATATTTTGCCATTGTCTTGTCCTAGTTCTTGCAAAAAATATGGAAGTAGCAGCTAAGATTATAAGAAGGAAAGAGAAGTTTGAATAAAAAATAGAGTAATGGGCTTTGAATATTTTCAGGTTTTTTTCTATTTATTTTTGATGTTTTGACACTGAGTTTCTGAGTGTTTTTTATCTTTTTCTAGGTGATGGGAATTGCAGTGATACTAGAGGCTTAGAAATTGCCATAAAGCAACGTGTTGATGATGCACTCACATCAAGACTTCCAATGTTTTACTTAGTCAACAGGCCTCATATTAGCTTAGTGCCTTCTGCATATCCATTTCAAATGAATTCAGAATACAAATCGCTGAGTATGAATTGGGCACAAGGGGACCTTTCTTTGGAGATTGTGGATGGCCTAAGTGGGAAGATCACTGAAAGGTTAAAATTATTAATTTATTTAAAAATTATGTATTAAGCAAAAGAAGGCATTTTACCACAAGTTTGATTATTTTTGGATGCTATTGAAGCCTATAGAATACTTAATTGATTTGGCAGTTGCAAATATCATACTAATTAAAATGTTTTCTTTTTTCTGATGAGTAAACAGGCACTGAGAAGTTACATAGCTTGCTGAAATGACAGAGAAAGTGTTAAATTAGTGTTCAAACCCATAGAGTCTGGTTCCAGAACCAAGGTTTTTCCAGGTGTTGCTTTGTGACCAGTAGCATTATAATTATATAACTTATTCTAAAAATTCAATTTCTTCTACTGAAACAATTTCTGGGAATTTGGACTTGGAAATTTGCATTTTTTTTGGTTGCCCTCCGCAGGTCTACTTTGATGTACTTAATGTATACCTAAGAAATACTATTTCATGTTATTTGGCCTTCTTATGCAATAAACCTGTACATTGGGTGGTATGTTTTTTCTTTTGCAAATAAATTGAGATTCATGGTAGATTGGATATGTTGCCCAAGGTTACTTAAATAGTAAAGGACACAGCTATGGTTATGATCTGAATATTTTATATCCAAAGACCTTGTTCCTAACACAGTGCTCTATTCCTTCTAGACAGTTTTCTAATACCTCTATGACTAATTATCAAGTAAAAACTAAAACTTTTTAGTGTGAATATACATTTATAATGAAGTAAGGAATAATATTAAAAGTTTAAATGCTTTAAAATTGCTTTCTTAATGAAGCACAGGATTAAATTAAGGCCACATACATTTTCTTAGTGAACTCAGTCCAGCATTATAATAATTATTTCAACTAAGATGATACAGTATTTGTGCTTTAGATCAGATACCAGACTCGACAGTATATATTTTCTTTAAGGACAGTTGAAAGCTGTTTCTGAAAACATAAAATAACAGCATAACAAAGATAATTTAATAATTGTGAAATAACTGTACACTTTTTAAACGACCAAATATTTGCTAAGTGAATACAAACAAGAAAGTGAGAGAGATAATCTAAACATTAGACAAGGTGTAATTCATCCCCAAAAGGCTTTAACATTAAGGCAAAAAAGAATGCCTCAGTAACATAAAGGGTGTAACTCATAAGGAAGACCAAAAAGGTATGAAAACATATGCTATAAATTATAGTATTAGCATTTATAATGTAGATATTAAAGATGAAAAATAGAAACTATTGGCAAGATATTAATTCACTTTCTCAGTTTATGGTAGTTCAGGTAGATAAAGGATATAGCCATTTGAAATAAAATATACTTAATGTATTTTAAACTGTGCATCTTAAAAGTATAAAGTACATTCAGCTTTTCAAGAATGTACCGAAACTAACAAAAATTGACCATTTGTTGGACTTCAAAGGAAACCCAAAAGTAGGAGCAATGTAAGCAGTATTCTCTGATTATGATGAGATGAAAATATAAACAATCCAAATGCTAGAAGCTGCTTTCACTGGAGAAAAAAAGTTCTCAGCATTCTGTCTTGAAGGAGAAATGTAAACTAAAATATAAAATATTTAGAAAACAAGGATGTTGAAAATATTACCTATCAGAATTTACAGGATATATAGTTAAAGCAAATTGAAAAATCAGCCTTAATAATGGAAGTAAATTAAGGATAAACTAGAAATTCAAAGGAAAAGAAGCCAGTCATGGTGGTCTGTACTTGGAATCCCATTACTCTGGGAACTGAGGCAGAAGAATCACAAGTCTGAGCATGCCCTGGGAACTTAATGACTTATTTAACAAGACCCTCTCTCAAAATATTTTAAAGGATTAGGGATGTAACTCAGTGAAAAGGTTCAATTCCCAGTACTGAAGGAAAAAACATCAGTCATACCTATTTATGGGTGAATCTGAAATGTTACACTATACATAGCATTGAAGCCAGGAAATCAGAAGGATTTGGTAGTTTTTATAATCTTTCAAGAGTGATGAAAAGATGTAGCAAAAATAGAAAAAAGTTCATGATCTATGGACTCGCTTTTATAAAAAACACAAATTACATATATATCTTTATAAATATATATATATGTACATTTTTGAGGAGGGTTGTGAAGTATGTATATATGTATGTATGTTACTTTTATATTAAAATTTGGTTGCAGAAAAAGTACCATAACATTGCATGAGAAATTCATTTATGTGTACACCCATGTAACCATTAACATTGTCAAACTATATTACATTTTTATTATCCCAGAAAGTATTTCCATTAATTGGAATTATTGTAGATTAATTTTATTTTAAAAAGGAGAAATGTACCAACTATCAGTCTTATATATTAATTTTTGATGTAACACTATAATAATTCAAGATAAATTTAAGTTTAAAAAGTAATTAAATGTTTAGAATGAATTTTATATAACAAAGTTTCACTACTTGTACATGGATAAGATGCATAAGTATTTTAGATTTTGATTTTAATCCTTATAGTTACCAATATAAATCACTGAATAATGGTTAATGAATGTTCCATTCCTTTGTATTTTAGTTCCCCATTTAAAAGTGGTGTGTCAATGGCAAGTCGGCTCTGTAAGGCTGCAATGTTAAGTAGATTTAATCTACTTGCCAAGGAAGCAAAAAGAGATGATTTATTTAAAGCAACTACATATCATGCAGCTAAGGTAAGGTAAAGGAAAAAGTGATCATAGTAATAAAAATAAAGACAATATTATAGTAGTTTATGTTGATTTTTATTGAGCAAAAGTTTACAGAATAGTTCTTGAATACACAATACTATAATTAATAGTTCAATAATTATTAAATGAAAATGCCAGAAATTATGTAAGTAAGCATTGCTGCTTAAAGTAGCCACCTTAGTGTGGTATATACTTATTCTAACACTATTGTCCAAGGCTTTTATGTCATATCTAGAGAAGCAAGATAATATTTTCTTTGTGTGTATACACATTGTATAAAACATAGACTATTAAGAATCCAAAAAAATAGCTGTGTAAGTTAATTTTCCTGTCTTAAAATTGTTGGAAAGTTTTAATTTCAACATTTAAATTGGAATTGATTTAATAAATAACTTTTTCTCTGTAAAATGCGTTTTCATACAAACATATCTTTAAAGTGAAAAGTATGGAAAACTTTTTTAAAAAATAGAACATAGACATATAATCCATACCACCCAAAACAAAAACAAAACCCAGATGTATAGTAATTTTACATAGCAGTCAAAGGTAATTATATGTATATTATTTCAACTTACATGTATGTTTTTGTACATATTTTAAAACAAGATCATACTGTATGTTTTTAAGATTTTTTATTAGATGTAATGTCAAATGCACATACTTAACATTATTAAATATTAAATGTAAATTGTTTGTACAGACTAATTTTAGTAATAACAGCACTTTATGACAGTCACTTAATTTTACTGATATTTTAAAGTTCAAATAAAGCAGATATATTAATCATAGGTGTTTATATACATAAACATACTTACAAATATTAAAAACTTTATTCTAGCCTCTATGACACAAAATCAAAAATGATCTAGGTACATTTTTGTAATTAATACATGAGCAAGTGTAAAATTTGGCACAATGTACAATATAGTGACACACACCTATATCAACACTAGTTTGAGGAGAGCTTGAGCTACATGGTGTGAGATCAAAGCCAGCCTCAAAGTAGAAAGCAAGTCCTTCTCTCAAAGAAAATTAGAAAAGATCACTGAACCCCAAAGTTTCCTCATTTTATAGTCAACAAACTTGATTACCAACCATCTAGATTAACCAAGAAAATAATAAGATAACAAAAATGATCAAAATCTTGAATGAGAAGCCCTCACTCCAAACCTTTAGAAAGCTAAAATAATGGTTGACCAAAACCTTTTGTTAATACATTAGACCAGTTAGATGGGTATCTCATAGAAAGACATAAATTACAAAACCTTACTCAAAAGTAGATCATCCAAATAGAATATAATCAGTTAGAAAAATTGAACTATTAAAATTATATCCACAGAATATAGGTTGGTGAAACCACTGTGGAAATCAGGTGGAGATTCTTCAAAAAACTAGGACTAGAGGTCCCATTCAACTCAGCTATTCCCCTTCTGGGAATCTTCCCAAAAGAATTAAAAACATCATACGACAGTGATATATGTGCATCCATGTTTAGCAGCACAATTTGTAATATAGATCTTGGAAACAATCTAAATGCCCATCGACTGAGGAATAGGTAAAAAAGATGTGGTATTTTTATACAATGGAGACTCAGCCATAAAGAAGAATAAACTGGAGAGTTTTATAGGTAAATGGATACAACTTGAGAACATATTCATTAGTGAAATAAGTAAAACACATATGTAAACATCATATTGTTTCGTTTAGTGTGAGAAGCTGAAAGAAAAAACGTGTGTGTGTATGTATATGTATAAAAATAGTTAAGATAGTTATATTATTGATTTCTGTGAGTTCATTGAAGAGAAAGATTTGTGCTGGGATTGTTGGGACAATTGAATTCAGATGTATTGTGCTCTGCATGAATGACAGGGGATGACAGTGTGCGATAAATGTACCATTGTTGCTCTATGAGAAAGCATTATATTCAGGAACATATATGGATTCACCGACTGATTCTACCAAACATAAGTAAGTACAATACAAATAAAAAGTTCTTGCAACTCATTAGAAGACCAACATTATTACCCTGTTATCAGAACTGGACAAAATCATCACAATAAACGAAAATTTAAGATTATCTTCCAAGAAAATAAACGTGAAAATTCTTAACAAGATTTGACAAACCAAATCCAGCAACGCACTAATAAAAAATTAGATTATACTTCATGTCCAAGGAAATTTAATCCAAGAATATTACATTGATTTGACATTAGAAAATTATTTGAAATAATGAACTAGAGGAATAAATTCAAGTTCAAAACCAAAAAATTAGCTTGAAATATATACAAAATGCATTTGGTAAAGTCTGACACCCATTCATGATATAAATGTTGAACAAATAATAGAAGTGAACTTCCTCAGTTTTGTAAGACCATCGACAAAGAACCTACCACTGATATTATTCTTAATAAGAAAAGACAGTATTTTTCTCCAGCCAAAATTATGGGAGAAGTCAAGAATGTTGACTCTCACTAATTGCATACATTATTCTGTTCATTCTAGCCAAGACATCAATGCAAGAAAAAGATGCAAAAAAGTATTCATACCAGAAAGGGAAGATAGACATTTTCTTTATTCCTAAATGGTGTAATTGCGTAGGTAAAATATGTTTTGGACTGTACCAAAAATAGGCATCTATAAATTGTGTATCTGTATCCAAGGAATAAAAAGTCCAAAAATAAACTTACTTCAGGCATACAAATTCAAATACATATACATACACAAAGGAAGGGTACCTTAACAAAAGAACTGTAAGACCTGTATACAGGAAATATAAAAACAGTACTTGAAAGACATTATAGAGGACCTGAATAAATGGGGAGCAATGGCATCCTAATTCCTTATTCCTTAATAAATAGTGCTGAGAAAACTGGCTTTCTACACACCAAAGATTAAACCTAAATTAATCTCTTTCACTATACATTAAAATAAAAATTGAAATGGATCAAAAACCTAAATATTAAAACAGAAACACTTAATCTTCTGCAACACAGAATAGGTAAAACTCTTGAAAACATAAGTGTAGGCAAAGACTTTATGAACAAAACCCCAGTGGCAGAGGAAATATTACAAAGAATTAACAACTTGGAATTAGGATGCCACTTCTTTCCAAATAACTTCAGTGCAAAACTCAAAACTCTCTACAGGCTTTTGTATAGAGATTAATGAAATGATCGCAAAATTGATGCAGATAGCCAAAATAGCACACAAGAGAAAAAATTTTGAAAAAAAACAAAAGTTGTAATACCATATTTAGTTTGAGATTTGCTTTGCTACAAGTACATCTTGGAACTATCACAAATTTGTTTGCAGACTTACCATAAAGTGAGTCTCACAAAAGTGGTTTCTCAATGAATATATTTAGGTTTACACTGTATCCTAGTGTATCATAAGTAGGCAATAGTATTGCAAGCAGCTCTGCATTAGTTTTATAAGATTGCAACAAGTCTTCACATTCTAAGGCTTTACTTCTAATTCTAGTTTGCTTGCTATTTCTACCACATTTACAATTACTTTGTTCACCGAAGTTTTGAATGCTCATCGTCAGTTTTATCATAGGATTGTGTTGTTTCAAAAGATTGCAGCAATTCATCCATATTTTTAGACTTAACTTCTAATTGTAGTTCTCTTGCTGTTTCTAACACATCTGCAATTACTTTATTTGTAGAAATCTAGAACCTGCAGAATTATCAATGTGTAATAGATTTGACTTCTTTCAAAATCATTTTTCAAAAAATAAACTTTATTGGTACTCTTGATATACATAGATCACATTTATAATAGGGATTTTTTACTTGTATATAGCAAGTCTTGATTCTTCCTGATTCATTTCCTCCTCTCCTTCAAGTCTACTTTTCCTCCTTATTTACACAAGATTCCATTTTTTCCTTCTATTCACTTTTTTTTCTTTCCCTTCCTTTCCTCATTTTAACATTTTCTTCCTGCTTGCCAAAATCTATCCATTTTGGTCCTTATTTACACTTTTAGTTTCATACAAGAGAAGCAACATGATGTTTAAACATAGTGTCCAGTTTATTTCATTTAAAAATATAGCCTCAAGGTATATACATTTGCCTAAAAATGCCACAAAATGTATCCTTACTTATGGCAGAGTAATACTCCATTGTATGTTAGAACTATATTTTCTTTATTCATTTATCTGTTGATAAGCACCTGGGCTGTTTCCAAGATTTAGCTGTTACAAATTGTACTGTGGTGTGATGCTTTTAACTTTTGGGGGAAGATACTAACAAAAAGAATAGCTGGCTGAAATAGAGCTTCCAGTTTCCGTTTTTGAGGAATTTCCATAATGATTGCATCAATTTACATTCCCACCAGTAGGGGAATAGGGTTTGATTTTCCCTCACAGCCTCACCAGCATTTGTTATTGGTTGGTTTCTTGATAATTATTCTTTCTGGAGATGGAATCTCTGTGTTGCTTTAATTTGTATTTCTGGAATGACCAGTATTGTTGAATGTTATTTCATATATTATTTGCTAATTGTACTTTTTCATCTAAGAAATATCTGTTCATTTCAGATGCCCATTTTTGGATTGAGTCTTTAAATTTGATGGAGGTGGGGGAATGAATCTTGTTTCTTTTTTCTTTTTTTGAGTTATTTTTATATTCTAGATGTTAGTCAGTTGTCTAACAAATTGTTTGCTAAATTGTTTAAATTTGGTAAATTGTTTGCCCTTTCTGTGTATTATTTATGTTGTTGGTGGTTTCTTCTGCCATATAAAATCTTTTTAATATGGTGAAATTCAAGTTGTTAATTCTTTGTAATATTTCCTCTGCCACTGGGGTTTTGTTCATAAAGTCTTTGCCTACACTTATGTTTTCAAGAGTTTTACCTATTCTGTGTTGCAGAAGATTAAGTGTTTCTGTTTTAATATTTAGGTTTTTGATCCATTTCAATTTTTATTTTAATGTATAGTGAAAGAGATTAATTTAGGTTTAATCTTTGGTGTGTAGAAAGCCAGTTTTCTCAGCACTATTTATTAAGGAGCCTTGTGTAACCCTTTGTCGAAGATAATGTGGCTGTGTATATTTGGAATTGTTTCTGCATCTTCTGTTATGTTCCAATGTTTGTTAGTTCTGGTTTTTGTTTTTTTAGGGTACAATACCATGGTTTTTTATTATGGTAACTTTGTAGCATAATTTCAATTTGGGGATTGTGATACTCCCTGCCTTGCTTTTGTTTCCAAGAATTGCTTTTACTATTCTAGGTCTCTTTTGGTTTCAAATGAATTTTAGGATTGATTTCTCTCTTCTATCAGGTATGCTTTCAATATTTTGCTCAGGATTGCATTAAGTCCATATATAACGGTTTTGGAAGAATAGTCATTTTCACTATAATGGTTCTACCTATCCAACCCAGAACAAGTTACATATTTCAATTTTCTGATACTCTCTTTGATTCTGATATTCTCTGTAATTTTCATTGTAACGGTCTTTTACTTACTTTGTTAGATTGGTTCCTAAATATTTTATTTTGGGGGCTGCTACTGTAAAAAGTGTTGTTTCTCTAATTTCTCTCTCAGTGAATTTGTTATTAGTGTACAGGCATTGTACTGATTTTTGAATGTTGACTTTATATCCTGCTATGACACTGAATTTGATTATTTTTTTTTGTCTTTTTCCTTTTTATTGGTACCAGGGATCAAACTCACGACTGCCTGCTTGCAAGGCAGGCGCTTATGCCTGCTGAGCTAAATCCCCAGTCCCTTGAATTTGATTATTAAGTCTTGGAACTTTTGGTGGAGTTTTTGGAGTCTTATGTAGAAAAGTAATGATAATTTAACTTCTTCTTTTCCTATCCTTATTCCTCTTTTTTTCTCTTGTCTAATTGCTCTGTCTAATGTTTCCAAAACTATATTGAACAGGAGTGGTGATACTGGACATCCTTTTCTTGTTCCTGATTTTAGAGTAAAAGTTGATTTCAGTATTACTTTGTCTGAGAGAATGAGGAGGCCCAAGGAAAAGGAGAAAGGTGAGGGAATATGCAGTCAGTGAAACAGTCAAAATTCACAGCATTTGTCAATTAAATTCACTATCTTTTATTGGCATAGTTTGTAGTGCCTCAAAACAATTACAGTGGTAACATCAAAAATCATAGATCAGCATTAAGAGATATAAAAAGGTTTAAAATATTGTAAGAATTAACAGATGTGGTGCAGACATAAAATGAACACTTCCCATCTTGGTTACTTTTCTCTCATTGCTGAGACAAAAATACTCGACATTCAAAGTAATGGAATGAAAGGTTTATTTGGCTTACAGTTTGTGGAAGTTCAGTCCATACTTTGTTGGCTTCAAGGCAGAGTGGCACATGGCAGAGGGCAACAGTTGCAGAAAATAGAAAATGCAAGAGCAAAAGGGGGGGAGCTCAAGAGATGACTCATTCTGTCCCTTATATTGTGTGTATGGCCACATCCACTTGAGTGTAGCACTCACACTCGTAATCCCAGCATTGGAACATGAATCAGTCACAAACTCTAGACGCTTGCCTCCATGACTGCATGAAGCTTTGGGGGTGGACATGAAGACACAAACCATAACACAGGCTGTTGGAAAAATGGTACCGATAGACTTGTTCAACACAAGATTACCACAGACCTTTATTTGTAAAAAATGTAATATCAAGAAGCACAATAAATTAAAGTTCAATGAGAGGCCAGGATACGGTTCAGTGGTAGAATTCTTACCTTGCATGCACAAGGCCCTGGGTTTGATCCCCTCAAAAAAAATTAAGGCACAATGAACTGAGCTAGGCCTATATAAATTAATAGTAAGAATATATATCAATATTATGATAAATATATAGATTAATAGAATAGAAATACAAATGCATGATCAATTGATTTTATACAAAGGTATCGGCATAATTTAATGGAAAAAATAATACCCTTTTCAACAAATGGTAATAGAACTGCTGTAATAGTCCCTTAGGGTAACAAATAACTAATGGTCAGTATTTTATAATGAGGCTTATTTAGTTCACATTTTGAAAGCTGAAATTTCAAGCAGCATGATACTGGCTCTGGTGAATGCTCCATTAGCTGCATCACCTTAGGCAGAGTGCATTTAAGAGAGGAGACAGACACAGAGACAGAGACAGAGAGGGAAGAAGGGAGGGACAGAGGAGAGAGATCAAATGCAAGACAGGAAGCCAGGCTTTAATGACACCGCTTTCCTGAAAACTAACCAGAGTTCCATGAGAGTGATATTAGCTTCTTCTGCAAGAGTGGCTTTGCAATAGGCTGTTTAACATAGCCACACTGAAAATGAAGGTTCCAATACGTAAGCCTTTGGGGACAGCTCAGACCAGATCTAACCAAATAAAGTGTTAGAAAATATTTCCATTTTTAAGGAAATACTTCTTAGATATGAAATCAAAAGCACAATCCATAAAAGAAAGAAACTGACTACTTGGCTCCAAAATTTGAAAACTTAATTTTCAAAAGTCATCTTTAACAAAATAAAAATACAGCCCACAAACTAAGAGATACTTGTAAATCATATATCTGACAAAGGACTTGGATCCAGATTACATAGACACTTAAAAACTCAGTACTAGGACAAGCAAACAAAATTTTAGAAGAGCTAAAGAATATACAGAAGTGACCGATAAACAGGTTAAAGTTGCTGAGTCTTAGTCATTAGGAAGATAAGAAGTTAAATCATAGTGAGATGGCAATATACCCACTGAAATCCTAAGGTGTGACCATACAAGATATTCTATAGGGTGTGAAGAAACTGGTGCTGTCTTGTATTTCCAGTGGAAATTAATATAATGTTTTCTTATAAAGGTAAACATAGAAATAGCATGTGGTCTAGCAATCCCACCAAGATTTGTGGAAACAAAACCTTATGTCCACATACAGACTCATACATAAATGTTTGTGGCAGTATTATCATAGTAGTCGAAAACTGACAACAATGCAAGTGTTCGTAAACTGGTAAAGGCATGAACAAGCTATGGTATGTACCCATAGAATGAAATATTAATCAGCAGTAAAAGGGAATAAACTGCTGATACATAAAGCAACTTGAATAAGTTGGAAAATATTTGTGGATTTTTTAAAGGACTATTGCAGTAAAAAACACATTGCCATTAATCCTTCTCAGATCCGAGCTCACTTGAAACACATTTATTCCATTGTTCTTGCTACTTTCCTAAGCAGCTCTGGAATTTCTCTTAGTGACTATCTTTAGTTGCACTGTTGTGGTTACTCCAAAGTTCTAAATCAATTCAAAACTTTTACTACTTTCATAATCATTTTTACTTTGGTAGAAAAGAGCTAGAAGATGGATGAAGTTGTTGAGAATGCACTGTAATATTTTATTCAACAGAAATTACCATAAACATCATGAGTCAATTCAGAACATTGAGCAGACACAAAAAGATCCAAAAGATTTCCATAACTGTTTCAGAAAGTGCCAGGAACAATGAGATGTGTACTCACGTGTGTGTCTTTTACTGTGATAAATGTTATTTTTATTTAAATAGTCATCATGTTTTCTATTATACTTTGTATATTAACTGAAAGAAACCTGACACAACAGAGTATATATTGTATTAATCAGTTTGTATGAAACTTCTAGAAAAAGCAACACTAGAGAGAGAAAGTAAATTTGTAGTTTCCTGGGGATAGGGCCAAGGACACAAATACAGATTGACTGCAAGTGGGCATACTGGAACTGATTAGATGTAATAGATTTATTTTACAGTGAGACCGCATGATAATTGCACACCCAATAAAGTTACTAAAACATCAAACTATAGACTTACAGTGGGTGAATTTATACATCAGTAAAACTACCTTAAGAGTTTGTCTATATGTTAATTTATAAAAACATAATTTATGAAAATGGAAACATCAAAACATTAATGATGGCTATCTAGATTTTGAAATTATAGTTTTGGTTTTTTTTCTGTTTTCCACATGTTTTTAATAATGAGTATATTTTTGCTGTTTTGGTTAAAAATGTTAAACAAAATTGCTTTTAGTATTGTTGGAAAGAAAATTGTTTAAGTACTGAAAAATAGAAAATCCAAAAATTTTCATTAATTTTTGAAATGTTAAGTTAAAGAAACAATATTAGGGTCCTTACTTTCCAGAGATAAAATTCTACTGATTTGCTATAATTTGATTTTTTTTTCCTTTCTAGTGTATGTCTGCCTCGTATCAAGAAGCTAAAACTTTATTGAAATCCTACTTACAGCAACATGGCTATGGCTCCTGGATTGTGAAATCTCCCTGTATAGAGCAATTTAATATGTGAATTAGACAATTCCTTGTCATATTAAACATCTTTTTGTTTTTGGTGTGTTTTGACTGGCAAAAATGCTTTTAAAATGTTGGAGGTTTTCACTTTTAAAAATCAGCGTCTTGCGACAGCAATATCTTGAGTATTAATAGAAATTAGTGCATCTTCATATTGGTTTACATTGCAACATTAGGGATTTTTAAAGATTTTTCATTTGTTTTTGAAAAAAATTACCTGATTCAACGTGTACACATTTTACATTTTTTACAGACAAAATCATTACTCTTTACAGTTTAAAACAGAATTTATTTTCTCAAGAGTTTGCATTGAATCTATCTGCATAGCTGTAAGATTCAACATTGTGTCTAGTGTCTCATTCGCTTTATTTAAAAATAGAAACCAAGAATAAAAATAATTTGTATTCATTTATTCAAGAGGCATTTAAGTGCTTAATATTTTTCACTCACTAACTAGATAGTAATGATACTAATCACTAAAAGATCTCTCAAAGAAGTTCATGAACACAAACTATACATAAAATACAGAAAAAATACTGAAACCACATTAGGTGGAAAATCATTTGATAGATTTTAATTAATAAAAGAAATTCATACATGATTTACATACGATAGCACATTTTCAGCAATCCTATACTTTTCTGTGTCAAATGGGATTTAATTCATAATTTAGATTAGTGGAGATTTCAATAGGGAAATAAAACTTCAGTGTTGTTATTGTTTATTCAGCACTTAGCTAAAAATGAAAAGTTTCCTCTTCAGTTAAGATGTATATCATTAGTGAAATTATGAATTTATCCTATATTTTAGCTTTTTTCCTCGTATTTCTTGCTTTTCTCTCTAAACTTTACTAGCTTCCACGGTTTGCCCTTTCAGCTTGTATCTTTATTAAATTTATGAGTCTCATGCTAGCCAGTATGATTGATTATAATCTTTGATGAGCTGATGTAGATTGCTTTGTTGTCTATTCCAAAAATATACAGCAGTAGTTTTTAGTTAATGATCAGTGAAGTTATTATGGAAAGACATACTTATGTCTTACGGTGTTCTCCATACAGTACTTAGAAATACTAGGCTGAACCATGTGAAGTAGCCACTTTTGGTAAATTTAAAACGATAAAAGATAGTATGAAGATCAACACAAATATTAATAAATTTCGTATCAATCTGTTATATGTTTATTGCTTGTTTCTCCAACTGATATTATATTGTTAATCATTTTTTAATCTTTTTACTAGGTTATTTCTTTTCACAGCATATTTCCAGCTTTTATTATTGTTTTACTTCTCTTTGGTAGTAAATCTGCCTTTAAAAATACAAGATATTTTCTAAGGTCTTAAGTTATGCATGATATTAGTAAAACATAATTTCCTAACAAATGTATGATTTTTAAAAAAGAAATTTATAGTTTTGAGAGGAATGTGAAACAAACATACTCAGCTGTTGTACAGACAGAATCTACCACTTATTACTCAACATGTATTCACCAATTATGCTTATTTGCATGCAGTCAGTTATATGTGATGTTTTGGTTTAAGGAGAAGAAAGCTACCTTGGAAGGTCCAAGAAAGACTATAAAGGGTAAGGAGATGATAGCTAGTGAAAGACAGTCATTTAGTGGCAGGGTCAAGAATCAGACATGAAACCCATCATTGACTGTGACTTGTAAATTATTTAAACTCTTAATTTGAGATCTTTATCTTTGAAGGATAAAGTTACATTAGTGATTTTCATTCTTATTTAGAAAACAGGCTTGTCTTAATTACTTTCCCATTGCTGGGACAAAAATACCTAACACTGACAACTTAAAGGGAGAAAGGTTTATTTTGGTTCCCAGTTTGTAGAGGTTTCAGTCCATAGTTGACTGGCTCCAAGGTAGTTCATCATGACATGGATGAGGAGAAATAGTTTACAGCAAGGCAGGCAGGAAGCAGCAGGCAGTGAAACAAGCCTCCCCTTCCCTTTTATGCCATCTAGGTTTACAAGCCTTTTGAGTAGTGCCACCTATGTTAAACCAATCAATGAACAATTTAGTACCACACACCCCTAATCCCTGTATTACATACTCTTTTACCAGCCACCTCTGAAAAACCCCACCTGTGAACAGAGCAGGCTTTCTAGGGATACCAAGATACAAGCTATAATAGGCCTTAGTAAGAAGGACTCTAGATTGCTCTTCATTAAAAACAGCAGTTTTTACCACTTTACTGTGTTATGTTTGCAATTCTACAAAATAGTTTGCTTGAAGAAAATAAATTTTTAATTTGCACCTCTAAAATACTCAAAACCCACTAATGAAGTTGTACGTACATATAAGTCCTCTTTTTATCTCTAAGGTTTATTTAGTGTTATCTGAGATAAACATTGAAAAATGGGGAAAATTTGGTAAGGTGAAATGGGAGATAGCATAATGAAATGAGAAAATGTTAAGTCTAGAATGTACAACACTGGGTAGAAAAATGGTTAAACCTAGCAGATGTTCTTAGTTTGGTAGAAAGAAAGAAACTTTTGAAGACTCTATATAGTGAAATAATGTACTTTAAATGCCTTTCTACTACATTTTCTTTATTTGTGGAAATTTTTAAGTACATAAAAGAGAATAAAGAATTTCCAGGTACCATCCACCTTCAACCACTATTCAAACTGAAGTATTTTATATATCTATCTCTCAAATGCATTATGTTAGAACAAATATTAGACTTGTTATTTTATCTAAAATCCTTTGATATGTGTATCTGTAAAAGATAAGGGCTCCAATGGACACATCCACTTGTGTAACCACTAGTTAGTTAGTACACCTTAGTAGTAATTTTCTTGCCATAATCTTTATGTAGCTTGTTGGAACAAGGATTAAAATTACCTTTTTACATTGGAATTTGTATGTTAAGTATGAATCTACAGGGTTCATCACTTTTTTTCTTTGACCTTTGTCTGTGCCAAAAAAAACAGTCCTTTGTTTTTTGAAGTTCCCACAATATCAATTTTGCTACTTATTTCTCATTCATGTTATTTAATAGGTTCCTCTGTTCTACTTCCTAAAACAAGCATTAAGTCTAGAGCCTTTCATATGTAGTGTCAGGTTTTAGCAAAAATACATCCTGGACAGTATTGTCTACTTTCAGGAGAAGACACTACATTTGAATTGTCTTCCTTTTTGTGATAGCAGCAATTGATGATCTTTACCTACACCCAGCATTTCATTATGATAATTTCAGATGATAATTACATTCTTTCACTAGCAGCAGTGTTTCTATTAAAGAAATGGACCCTCATAAATTATTTGATTACCTTGGTGGGAGGGTATACTTGGTACAGAAAGATCTGGATTGTTTTCCTTTCTTTACATTTTTGAAATAGTTTCTTGTCATCCTTTGAAGTTGACCAAAGATTTTTTTCTAGATGAATTTAAACATTCTACTATTCTAGTCCTTATGAATAATATTCAAATTTATAATCAATTTGTCATACTTGTAGTTCATAGGAAGCTTTTTGAAACATCTTTCAGTATTTTTTGTAGTTACTGCTAATATTTTGTATATATTTAGTGCACTTTATATATTTTCTCTTGCTAATATATAGACATGCAATTTTATATTCATTGGATAGCTACTGGCATTACTAAATCAATTCTGGAGTTTATTGTAGAGGCTTTCAGATGTGTCTAAGTCCTATCCTGTGTGAATGATAAATTTAGTTCTTCTGTATCATTATTTACTCTTTAATTTGCCTTGCTTTTTTGTACTATGTCTTTCCAGTGCCATATGAATAGAAGTAGTGAGTGTGTCCTCATATGGAGACCTTATCTGTTGATGTGTGTCATTTGAATGTGATACAAATAGTTTTAGATAATCTTTGTCACAATTTTTCTGTCTCATGATGTGCATATATTTCTCCAAAGACTCCTTATTCCTTATAACGCAGAATGATGTGTAGAAACCACAGTTTTGATCCTAAGTGTACCTACTTACTAAGTTGGTAATTTTTCTCCTAAAGATTTTTTCCCAGAGCACGTATTTTAGATAACACACATTTAAGATACTTGTTTATACTGAAGTTCCTGTTTCAAATTCATGTCTACAAGCCAAGTGTGGACATGTACACGTGTGGTGCCAGGACTCTGGGGGGCTGAGACAGGGGGTTCACAGGTATGAGCCCAAGTTGGGCAACCTAGTGACTTAGAGCAAGACCACCTCTCAAGGGGGAGTGGGGCTGGGGTGTAGCTCAGTGCAAGGGCACTAGATTTAGTCCCCACTACCAGAACTTTACCCCTCAAAAAAGAAAGGCTTTTGGTATTTTTAATTAAACTTCAACCCTCTGTATCTCTTTTGTCCCATACCAAAATTTCAATTCCAATTGATTCCAACAAAATGCTTAATTTTTTCATTACATATATACATGCACAGAAGTTTCAGAATAAATGGTTCTGTTAGTACCATCAATAAATGATTATTGAAAAAATGTAAAATTATTTTCATCCAGCATATATGCAGCCTCTTACAGTCAAAGTCAAATTAATGTGGTCTATGGTAACTTCCATGAAATTTATGCCTCCAATTGAGGACAGTTCAGATTTTATTTAATTTGGCTTTCAGTAGTTAGCAAATTGAAGGTTTGAAGTTATTATATAAAAATACAAAGATGCTTAGCATGCATAGGGCCCTGGATTTAATCCTCAGTACCAAAAAATAGCAAATCCGGGAGTGATAATCAGCAAGATGGAACACTAGAGTGCTTGGCATGCTTTCCTCCACAACAAAGGACCAAAACAAAGAAAAAATGATAGGTGTTACCCTGAAGTGAGCCAGACAGAGTCCCAGAATGTAGTGGAGGATGTAGTAGAGGTGTTGCAGAGCACAGAGATAGATATACAACAATATAAGGAAGGAAACTAAACAGCACCTACTGTCTTATCTTGAATCTAAGCCTCAATCAAGAGGACTTCACAGGAAAAAGTAAGCAGACCTCCAGAAATACACACTTAGCACAGACAACCTTAACATTTTCTGATGGAGACGTTTGCAGCTCCCACACACCTGGGAAAAGAGACCAGCCCAGGTTGTGCCCTTTCCCACATGGGCTTCTACACCATGTAATCTTGATTATCTGCTTGGCTTTCTGTTAAGCAGCCTTGCAATCCTGCTCCTCTCCCATCCCATCCCAGCATCTCAGCTGACCCAGTTCTGCAAACCAGCCAGATTGCCTCTCCCACCTCTCATAGGTCTAGGAAGCATCTACAGAGCCCAACTTTGAGTGGCCTGGGACCCAGAGCAACCCAGAGAAGTGCCCAAATCCCCACTTCTCAAAGAAGAACTGAGGCAGTTCAGCCAACTAACAGCCCCAAGAGACAACTTAGTGACTGAACCAGCTGAGTTATACATCTTTCTGCATCTGCAAGAAGCAGGTGAGCAATCTATTCTAGAAAGCTCACAGAGCCATCCTGGGACTCAGGAAGCAGCAAGGCAGCCCACCCTCACAGACCCATTATTACTGCAAGTCCAAGGCTTCTGAGTCCATTGCCTGGTTCTTGTCCCAGTTCTGACAATCTGTCATTCTGACCTGCTTTCTTCAGTGTGCTGCCTGCAGTCTTTCCAATGAATTGTATGGAATTTAAAGTATTTTCTCACATCTTTTTCTGAATGTTTTATTTCCTCTTTGCCATAAATTCTTTCACCTGAGGCCCCCAATTCACTTCAAATCCTTGTAAGTAGAGTTGTTTTTACAGATTTGTTGACATAATTGATACATTTCTTGGATGATTTAGCTAACACTTGAGCTTTTTGGCCTTCTCCCTCCAATGATCTCCTGCTCAATCAACAAAATTCACAGTCCCACCTCACACTTTACCACTACCTTTACCCCTCTCGGTGTGCTGATTTTAGGTGTCCTTTTCTCTATTCACTACATTTTCTTCTTGTAGCTTACTTATACTCAGATGTTTGAAATAACTTCAATAACTCTTATATTTTACATACATCTACCTCATAACTTTAGGGTACTGCTCAGATGGGGAATTCTCAGAAGTGAGATTTTGTCAACAGCAACATCTAAGCTTTCAGTTAAATTGAGTAACTCCCAAACTACTGTTTCCTATAGCTATCATTCTAAATAACACCAGGCAGATTGTCCAGGAAAAATTCAAGTCAGTTAAACCTAAATATCTGCCTGCTTT